TGCTCTTCTGTAGAAATGGAGTTCCAGGCTGGGCGGTGGTGGTGCACGCCTTTAATCCCAGCACTCGGGAGGCAGAGGCAGGTGGATCTCTGTGAGTTCGAGGCTGGGCTGGACTGATAGCCTCCAAAACAATACAGAGAAACCCTGTCTCATAAAAACCAACAAAACAAAACAAAACAAAACCAAAAAACAAAACAAAAACAAAACAACAAAAAAAAAAGAAATTGAGTTCCAGAAGACCCGGAAAGGATAGATAACACTTCTGAATCTGTGGAAGAAAAAGAAAGAGATTCTGGGATGCTGGGATGGAGGAGGAGTTAGGGGAACTGAGTAGGCTTGGGATAGGATGTGTAAACCAAAACAATGTAGGTGAATGCTGTGGCTTTGTTTGAACTGGGTCCACACATGTCCTTTGTGTCTGTGAATTCAGGCAACTCCACAATGGCTTCTATGCATCATTGCTTTCTTCCTTTCTTAAGCACATTCCAAACCTGAATGGAAAATAAAGATATCTATGCTGTAAGCCAAATCTTTTCCCTCTTCTGACCATGGATTCTAATATGTGCCCCAAATGTATGTAGATAGTGGTACTGCTGTATGCGTTCTCTCAAATGTATGTAGACAATGATACTGCTGTGTGTAATCCCTAAGCCTTTGGAATCAATTGCCCAACTTCTGAGGTGAATGAACATAGTATTTATTTAAATAATCACTTGGATAGATTCACCATTTATTGTGCTTTTTCTCAGTAGTAGCACCCCAAATCCATTCCCTAGAAAGCTTCTCAGTCTCGGGGAAGCTTGGGTGGATGGTCTACCTTACTCACTCAGCCATGTTTCCAGATGTCTTTGGTTTTCATTTCTAGGCACCTCCCTCCTGCCAATGTGATGGCCAGAGCAAAATGACAGAGAAAACAAAGCTGTTCTAAGGGGAACATAATGGTTTTAGCTCACCATGTCAACACTGGCTTCATAGTCTTTTTCTCAGCCTTATTTTATTTTGGGGGCTACTATGAGTAAGTGTAAAGTTCATGTTAGAGTCAGTCATCTTCCATTTAAGAACACTTCACTGAGGATCTATCTGCAGGGAGGAAGATGTCATCCACTGATCAAACAAAAAGGAGGATGCTTCAGTCCCAAAATATAGGAATGAGTTCTATCTGCAATGCGCTTGTCTGTTCTTAGAGGCCCTGTCAGCTTCTTTGTCCATTCGTTCCTTCCTTGGTCCTCTGAAGCCATGCTTTTCTCAAGTTCCAGGCTGGCAAAAGGGCAGCATCAAAATGACGTGAAATCCCCTTGTGAGGTCAATGAGGCAGATTCAATTCCAAATTCTGAGACCACACACAATTACCGAGCCTCCACGTCCTAAAGGAATGAAGCATAGTAGAAAATGACAGGCAAGCAGTAGAACTTTTAAGATACGGAAGAGGACCCTTACCCAGTCTTGCTATCTACCTCATACATCTGTATAGCTAATTATAATAGAACCATTTGCCCAACCTACAAAAAAGTAACAAAGTTCCAATTTCCTCTTAGCAACAGCTCCTTGGGTAGTGCTGTGAATTCCAGTCTGAAAGCACCAATTTGGAAAAGGTTACTGTCTGGCACCTTCCAGGTCTTCTCTGTAACCTCATTAGAAAAATTCTTTGAGATCAAACCGTGAAAACTAAATTATCCTGCAGTGATGAGAGGAAGGGAGAGGGATCCTTGCTTGGTTCCTTGTTCTGTGCAGCTTTGATATCTTTAATAGTCTGGCTTTGACTCACAGGATCGGTGCTTCAAAATACCCTGTGAGCTGGTGATGTGTGTGTGTGTGTGTGTGTGTGTGTGGTCCCAAGGGTCTCTGGGTGGTGAATGCATCACTGTATCTTTTTAAGTTGCTCTCTGTGTTTCTTTTATATTGAGATTGGCAGGGACTGATACTCCTCAGCACAGTAAGCAATCGCCCTTGAAATTCTGTATCCCAAATGGAGCCTATTTTAATAATGAGTCTGGTCCACCCATTGCTTTGCTTTGCAACAAGTCTGAGCTAGCTGACTCAGTTGGGAGGCCGGCTAGGTATCTTTCTCAGCTACACTTTAGAGCTGGAGGTATGGGCTCCAAGGCTGTTTATTCCTAGTCTCAATGATAAGTAAAACCGTGTTGTGTGTGGCTACTGGGCCTTTTCTCCTGAAACTTTTAGGGGAGAATGTGCTCTTGTGTGATTTTTCCTGGGGCAAAGTTGTGAACAAATGTCTGTTTACCCCAGAAAAGACCCTGAAAACAGACCAAAGAAATAATTCCACCTTGATGAAACATTGAGTCTATTGGGCTTCCCCGCCCCATCGCAGGGGGATGGGTGAGGTGCTGGTCACAGGACCATGGGTAATCGCAGAACAGCTACATCACATTAAAGCCCCACCCAAGTGTGGAGTGTGACCTCCAGAAACGTAGACAGATGGAGTCTCCACTTTGTTAACCTTTCACCTCCCGGGTCCGGCTCCTAGGCATCCTAACACCCGTCACCCCCAAGACCATGTACCACTGGGTAGGATCACATACACGCGAGCATTAGGGGGCACAGGAGGGAAGGACTAGGAAGTTGCTGTGATCACAGGTAAGGGTCTGCCAACCATCCAGAGACTGGTTCCTGAAGAAATACTAACAGGCCTCATGCAGTGAGGATGGCTTGTGGATAATCACAGCTGCTCTAACTTAAAAATGGTAGCGAGCGAGTGGTAACAGGATAGAGTTCTACAACATGTACATTCTTGTGTTTTATCTGAATTAGAGGGTGGAGGAGGGAGGGAGGGAGGGAGGAAGAGAGGGAGGGAGGGAGATAGGGAGAGAGAGAGAGAGAGAGACAGACAGACAGACAGACAGAGACAGAGACAGAGACAGAGAGAGAAGAGAGAACCAGGAAGGCAGAGGCTTCTTCTCTGATATTTTCATAAATCAAATTCTGGAAAGGGGATCATTAAATAAAGATATGATTGCAGATCAAAAAATCATGTTAGTCTGACATGCTTAACTAAACATATGCTTTTTGAGCATGAATCTTTACAAGTATATTATATAGAGTTTATTATTCCAATGACAGAGGGATAATGGTACTTAATTTTTCTAAATGATTAAGAAATACCATGAACAAGTTAAACTGCAAAGGACTTTTCTTCCATCGGTTCATATCTCCATTGGTCTAAAATTCAGTGCAATTTAAGGTCTAAAAAGTCTCTTAATTCTAAACAAATACCACATGGTCTCACTCATATAGTGAATATGAAAAAAATGACACAGAAGTTGAGAATAGAATCGTAGGTACCAGAGGCCTTGGAGAGTAGAGATGGATAGAGGCAGAGAGACTGAGAGAGTAAATTGGCAGGGAGAGATAGGAAAAGCCGATCAGTGTGTTCTAAGTTACAATTGGATAGGAATAAGAAACTCCAATGTGCTGTTGCAGGAGGGCAACCAGCCATAACAATAATGTATAGAGCATTTAAAGCACTAAAAGGAGTTCGAAGGCTCTCAACTCTCAGTGAATGATATTTGAGAAGATGATATGCTTAAATGCTTTAAGCAATATTCATTGTATACATTCATTAAAACATTATATGTATCCCATTAATATAATTAATAATAATAATAATAATAAACGAGTATGGGTACTTTGTGTGCATGTATGTCTTTCCATCATGTGCATGCCTGAAGGTGCTGATAATTGAACCTGGGTCCTCTGGAAGAACACCTAGCACTCTTTACCATTGAGACACCTCTCCAGCCTAATAAAATATTTTTATATTTCACTTAAAAGACAAAGTAAATTCAGGGGCTTGGAGATGGCTCAGTCAGTCAAGTGCTTGCTGCATGAGCATGAGGACCTGGGTTCAATCACCAGCACCCTGCAAAGCAGCCAAGCTTTCCAGCACATACCTGCAACCTGAGCACTGGGGAGGCACAGGAAAGAGGATTCCACCCATGGCATCTGCTGGCCAGCCAGTGTAGCCATATCAGGCAGCATCGGGTTAGTGAAAGACGCTGTTTCCAAAAGGAAGTTAGAGTGTGATTGTGTTAGACTCTCTCCTCCGTATGCACATACATGAACCTGTACACGTGGGTACATACACACAAATTAATGATAATAATACTTCCTATCCAGGTGTGGTTGTACACACTTGTAATTTCAGCACTGGGGAAGCAGAAGCAGGGGGATCAGGAGTTCAGGCCATCATCAACTATGTTGTGAGTTCAAGGTCAGTCTGGGTTGCATGCGACCCTGTTTCAAAAGTAAGTAAAAAAATAAGTAATAAAACAGATAGAAACTTGTAATTCTCAGGTGATGCATGTAAATAATATGGCACCTTGCAGTTCATTTGAATATCAGTGTGTTGGAAGTACATGGGGCAGGGAGGCCATTAGGACCGCATGGTGCTTTCTCTTGGGAATGAGATGTCTCTGTTGGAACGGGATTGGTTGTGCTGAGAGTGCATCATAGTGAAGTGAATTTGGCTTCCTTGGCCTCTTCTCTTGCTTCATTTTCTACTCTGTGACCTATTCTATACGCACAACTAACTACTCTCACATATGTGTGCATCCAATGACATCACTGCCCTGTAATAATTCAGTCAAACTCACCTCATCCTGGCTGACAGGATGGAGCCCATATTGAGCTTTCATTCTCCAAAGCTGTTAGTTAAATAATCTCTTTTCTCTATAACTTACAAAGCCTCGGATATTTTGATATAGTGAAACTCGATATGCTAATACACTAGGGTTCTAGAGGACTGGCCGTTTTAAAGCTCGTTTCTCTGCCCAAAAATTCCTTAAACAATAGTTCTATCTATGGGGCCACCTTTGTGTGTCAGCAGCAGCGATGGCCAGAGTGTGACCCGTGACTGCTACTGGCCCAATGGAATTGGGAGTTGTGCTTATAGCACCAGTGTCTAGCATCTTCCTAGCATGACTACCATTTAAGGAACCTCGACACAAAAAGCAACCCAGAAGAAAAATAAGACAGGAGGAAAATTCTTGAAATTATATTTTAATTTTAAATGCTTAACCATGCTGTGTTAGGTTTCTGTTGCTGTGATAAAACACCATGACGGAAAGCAACTTGGGGAGGATGGGTTTATTTGTCTTCCAGTTTATAGTCCATCATGAAGGGAAACCAGGGCAGGAACTCAAGGCAAGAACTTGGAGGCAGGAACTGAAACAGAGATCATAGAATAAGTTGAGTTTTGTCTTGTTCCCCATGGTTTGCTCAGCCTGCATTCTTTTTTTGGGGGGGGGTTCGAGGCAGGGTTTCTCTGTATTGTTTTGGAGCATGTCCTGGAACTCACTCGCTAGACCAGGCTTGGTCTCAAACCCACAGAGATCCACCTGCTTCTGCCTCACGAGTGCTGGGATTAAAGGCGTGTGCCACCACTGCCCAGCTTCAGCCTACATTCGTATACAACTCAATACTCCTTTCCCAGGGCTGGCAGCACCCACAATGGGCTGGGTACTCTCATATCAATCATTAATCAAGAAAGTGCTCCTACAGACTTGCCTATGAGCCAATGTGAAAGAGGCATTTTCTTGATGAGGTTCCTTCCTTTCTGTTGACCCTAGCTTGGATCAAGTCAACAAAAAGATTAATCAGCACACATGCTATAACATCTATAGGCTTGTGATCATTATTAAGAATTTACAAAAACTTACTCAGTTTTTAAAAATTAAATGTGTTTAATCACAAAGCTCGGAAAACCTCGTGGACTTCATGCGGAGGCTGCAACCTCATATTCCCATGATGCCACATAGTCAACATCAAAATGTTCATCTTGCCAGATATTACATACTAACTAGTGATCTGGTAGGAGGTAAGCCGTTGAACTGAGCATGGAACACACACACACACACACACACACACACACACACGGGGGGGGGTGGAGACAGACACAGAGAGAGAGAGACAGAGAGAGACTCAGCCAGCCAGCCAGCCATGACAGTGTCTGTTGAATTGCTATGGGGAATCTCATTGCCAGTTACTGAGTTTACTCATGCAATCATGCAGCCAATGGAAATACATCAAAATTAGTATTAAGCCCCCAAAGCTACTCACTGTAAGATTTCCTTTTAAAGATGCTACTTTGTTGTTCATTTTTAAACAGATATAGACCTAAAAATTACATAGGCAAATTTCCCATGAGAATCTCTAGTTGTTTGTGTGGGAAATGATACAAAGGAGTTTATTAGCAACAAGATTGTGCAGGCTCATCAGAAAGTAAATCTTTTTAATCCAGTGCATATTCTAATCCTCCTGTATGAATTATGCGAATAAAATCTTTGAAGTATTGTTAGAGAGGCAATCCTGACTAAATTGAATCTGACAGTCCCTTTTTATCCAGATCCGATGTGCTTAGACTGGGAGGCGCATATAGAATCATAGAGGATCCTGCTTTAAAATATGACTCAATGGGTGCATTCAGTGTTAGAGAAAGCCACTCAGGACAGCAAAAGCTGCATGAGTAAAAGCTGCTTCAACAGCCATACCTCTAACTTTTTTTTTTTTGTGTGTATGTGGATATGTGCGTGTGTACTTGGGGTAAGCATCGGTTTTACAGGCTGTTTCCTATCACTTCATATTTAGGAAAGCTTGACGGCCATGTGTTGTTATTGTATTTTGCATGTATATGCACATTTTCACATGGATGTGCATGTGTGCATGTGAGCAGATGAATAGAAACCTTTGGTCACCAGTGGGTGGCATCCCCCAGTCACATTCCACCTTTTTTTGAGACAAGGTCTCTCAGTGAATCTGGATATAGTTGTGTCTGTGATGCCTCACTCATAGCTGTAGCCATGAGCTACCATGCCTAGCTTTTTATGTGGGTGCTGGAGATCTGAACTCAGGCCCCTGTGCCTGTATGGCAAACACCTTACCAACTGAGGCATCTCCTAGGCTGTTACATAAATAACCTAAGGTTAACAGGAATATGCAAGGAAGTAGACAGTGATTTTGCAAATCCATGTTGTAGCCCTATAAGGCTAGGCTGCTTGTACCTTGTGTAACCCCAGTAGGTTTCATCACTGTGGGCTACATTTTGAGAAGTAACTCTTTGTTAATACAGACTATAACATTATCATCCAAAAATGTTATTGCCAATTTTATGTGTATGTGCCTGTGTGTGTGTGAATGTGCTTATGCACCTGTGGATAAGCATTTAAAATGGGCTTTTAACATGTGTGAAGTTTCCTAACTTTTGGACTTGCAGCAAGGCAGCATTCATGCCATGGTCAGGGATAAAAAAGGGAGGATAAAGGGGCCCAAGTTCCAATATTCCTTTCTTGTCCATGAACTGAGAGTTCTCCCACTAGGTCCAACTTTTTGAAGTGTCTGCCATTTCTCAATAACACTGTGGACTGAGCTTTAACACACAGGCTTTTGGAGAACACTCCAGGTCCAAACAATAGCAATCAGTAAACATGTGTCACTGTCTAGGGCAAGCCCCTTGCTAAAGACGTTCAGGATAGACTTCCCTGAACATACCAGCTGCTTTCTTCTACATGGAAACGAGGGCTTCACTTTTGCTTACTCACCAATGGGTGTGAGAAGCTGAAAGGGTAAAGGTACAGTTTGAGATTTATTTCATATGGGAAACTAATAGCTGTGGAGAGAGGGTGAGTCAGTTTTCCTTAAGGGTGTGGCCCCAGACAGGTCAATCAAGCTCCGGAGTTAGCCTCACAACCAACAGTGTCTGAACATCACAAATGTGACATGAGAGGCTTAAAAATAAACATAAGGCATAAAGTTGGATGGATAGGGAGTTGGAGGCAGATCTGGGAGCAGTTAGGAGAGAGGGATGGATATGCTCAAAATACATTGGAAGTCTCAAAAATTAAGAAAAACATTTAAAAGAGAAAATAAGTATGTTTGCATTGTGACTTGAAAATAATTTATTGAATAATCAAATAAGATGTTTTTATCATAAAATTTCAAGACACATAAATGTAACACTACAAGGAGAGAAAAACAAGAAAATGGCTGAATATTGTAATGTACGTTAGTCATACTACAACAAAATAGACCTATGCATTCCAATAAAACTATAACCTGCTGAGGAGAGGAGGGAGCTTGTGGGGAGGGACTAGGAGGAGAGGAAGGAAGGGAATAAAAGACCACAGACATCAAAAATTGCTTTGGCAATTTGTACCTGATTCAGAAGAGATATTGCTTTCCAAGATCATTTTGTCTCAGAAAGAACAAGGAACAAACAGGTCCCAGGCAGGAGTGACTTTCAGGAATTTCATCCTAAGAGAGTCACAAGGGTTGAACTTTGAACAGAGAAATCTGTACAAGGAAAATTAAAATAACCCCCTCTTCTTAGGATGAATGAAAACTGCCAAACTAGATAGGATCTTGGTGATAGTGCGTGCGCGCGCGCACACACACACACACACACACACACACACACACACACACACGTGTGGATGGAGTACATCTGTGGATGGAGGTGCTCGTTTGCCTCCAGGGATTTGCCCATTCCCACCTCCCATCCCGCCTTGCAGTGCTAGGATTATGCATGCCAATGTACTTTTTTTTACATGGTTTCCAGGAATATGAACTCCGGTCCTCACACATGCAAGGCGGTGCTTGCCTGACTGATCCATCTCCCCAGTCTCTGTTGTAACCTTGAGGTTTTATCCAGAAGAAAGAGAAATGACGAAGAGCAGCTGTCGAGAGAAAAGGAAGTGAGATTTTGGTAGGGAGCTAGGATGTGGAGAAGACTCTCAAGAGAACAGCATCAATCCACAGAAACACATCGCCCTGAGCAATAAGGCACTGGACTCTTCCTACTGAGCATAGGTGACAATGGTGGACCTTCAAGACTCAGGATCTTAGAATGGGAACTGTTTGGAAGGTGGTTCAATAGTCTAGGCAGGAAATGCTGTGTAAAAACAAATTCTTTTGTCTCTCTGGTGTTTTTTTCTTTTTTCTTTTTTCCTACACAGGTTTCCTCTGTGTAACCCAGGCTGTCCTGGAACTCACTCTGTAAAACAGGCTGTCCTCTTTTTATATTTTGGTTTTGGGTTTTTGGTTTTTGGAGACAGGATTTCTCTATATAACAGCTCTGAATCTCCTGGAACAAGCTCCGTAGACTAGGCTGGCCTCGAACTCATAGAGATCCATCAGCCTCTACTTCCCAACTGCTGGGATTAAAGGCGTGCATCACCACCATCCAGCACAAATTCAGTGGAAACATAAAATTCATTGACCAGAGCACATTAAAATTTGTGGAAATGTAGTTTGAACATATTCCTTGTGAAAAGTGACTTAGTTCACAGCCACATCTGTGGAGTCACGTGAGGATGCACAAAGGGTAAGAAATGCTTTGAACATGATGAATACGTAAGAGCATTCAGCATGAGATGGGAGCTCAATTAATGTCAGGAGACTAATACAGAGTGGATAACTACAAATATAAGTAATATGGAGGAAAAGCACACACACAGAAGACAAGTCTCACTCAACACTAGAAAAGCCATACAAAAGAGAAACCCTACAAACATAAAAAATGTGTGTATGTGTGGGGGAATCCTTTTTCTAGAAATCATCACTCAGAAACCACGAGAAATCCCTAAAGATGAGAAAGTGTATATATATGCATGTTATACACATGGTAAGTCCTTCAAACAAAGCTTAGTCTTCATTCACCAAAAAGTATTTATATGGAACAAAACTGTACAGGTATAAGGATTGTGCAGAAGTTTTCATTTAGTAGCCAAAACTTGTGGAATACCAGAGAATATGCAGGCAGGAGATAGATAAATGGAGACTGTGCAACAAGGCTTTTGCCCAGGAGTCAAATGCCATGAACATGAGAAAATTCATAATGGAGAGGAGACTTATGAATGAGATCTATGTGGTAGTACCTTCTCCCAGAGGATAAACTATTCCACATAAAATACATACTAAAAAAATCTCAGGGGTGGGAGAAGAAGCTGGAATTGACATGTGAAGAAAGCATGTTTCTAATTTAAATAAAAATATGTTGAAAAAACTTAAAACGGTATAATCAGAATAAATAGAAGTCATAAAGTCTCAAAACAATTTTCAGGTACTTCAAATATAAGCATAACCAACAGAATACAGGAGATGAAAGACAGATCTCAGATGTTAAAGATACACTAGGGGAAATAGATTCATTGACCAAAGAAAATCTCTAACACAAAATATCCAGGAAATATGGGACACCGTGAAAAGACCAAACCTAAGAATAATAGGTATAGAAGGTGAAGAAATACACCTCAAAGGGGGCAGAAAACATATTCAACAAAATCATAGAAGAAAACTTCCCCAACTTAAAGAAAGACATGCCAATGAAAGTACAAGAAGCCTACAGAACACCAAATAGAGTGGACCACAAAAAGAAATCCCCTCTCCACATAATAGTAAAAACCCTGAACATACAGAATAAAGAAAGAATATTAAGAGCAGCAAAGGAAAAAGGCCAAATAACATACAAAGGCAAACCTATCAGAATCACACCTGACTTCTCCATGGAAACTCTGAAAGCCAGAAGGTCCTGGATAGATATTCTACCAACACTAAGAGACCATGGATGCCAGCCCAGACTGCTATACCCAGCAAAGCTTTCAATCACTATAGACAGAGAAAACAAGATATTCCATGACAAAACCAGATTTAAACAATACATAGCCACTAACCCAGCCCTGCAGAAAGTTCTGGAAGGAAAACCCCAACCAAAGGGAGTTAACTACAACCAGAAAAACATAGGCATTAGATAATCCCACCTTACCAACAGCCAAAAAAAAAAAAAGAGGTGGAAATCCGCATATAATTCCACCACCATCAACTATTCCAAAACACACAAGAATGAGCAATCTATGGTCATTAATATCCCTCAATATTAATGGTCTTAACTCGCTCATAAAGAGACAAAGGCTAACAGAATGGATCTGAAGACAGAACCCATCCATTTGCTGCATACAAGAAACATACCTCACCCTCAAAACAGACATTACTTCAGAGTTAAGGGTTGGGAAAAGATTTTCCAATCAAATGGACCCAAGAAACAAGCAGGGGTAGCAATACTAATATCTAACAAATTAGATTTTAAAGGAAAATCAATCAAAAGAGATAAAGGAGGGCACTTCATACTCATCACAGGAGAAATCCACCAAGATGGAGCCTCAATTTTGAAAATCTATGCCCCAAATACAAAAGCACCCACATTCATAAAAGAAGCATTACTAAAACTCAAATCACATATAAAGCCCCACACACTTATAGTGGGAGACTTCAACACCCCACTCTCACCTCTAGACAGGACTACCAGACAGAAACTTAACAAAGAAGCAAAGGAACAAATAGAAGTCATGACCCAATTGGGATTAGCAGACATCTTTAGAACATTCCACCCAAATAAAAAAGTATACATTCTTCTCAGCACCACATGGAACCTTCTCTAAAATTGACCACATACTTGGCAACATATCAAATCTCAAAAGGTACAAAAAAATTGGAATAACTCCATGCACCTTATCGGACCACCAGGTGTTAAAATTAGAATTCAACAACAACACAAATTGCAGAAACTCTACAAAATCATGGAAGTTGAATAATGCACAATTGCACCATTCCTGTGTCAGTGAAGAAATAAAAAACGAAATTAAAGACTTCCTAGAATTAAATGAGAATGAAGACACAACATACCAAGACTTATGAGACTCTTTGGAAGCAGTGCTATGAGGGAAGTTCATAGCACTAAGTAACCACATAAAGAAACTGGAGGATAGTTACACTAGAGAATTAACAGCACAACTGAAATCTCTAGAATACAAAGTAGCAAATTCACCCAGGAGGAGTAGACACAAGGAAATAATCAAATTGAGGGCTGAAATCAATAAAGCAGAGACTAGGAAAACAATACAAAAAAATCAATGTAACCAAGTGTTGGTTCTTTGAGAAAAATCAACAAGATAGACAAATCTTTATCCAAACTTACCAAACCACTGAGTGTGAACATGCAAATTAACAAAATCAGAAATGAAAAGGAGGATATAACAACAGATACTGAGGAAATCGAGAGAATAATCAGGTCATACTTTGAAAACCTGTACTCCACACAATTTTAAAGTCTAAAGGAAATGAACAATTTTCTGGATAGATATCACTTGCCAAAATTAAATCAAGAACAGATAAGCAATTTAAATAGACCTATAAGGTAATAGAAGCAGTCATCAGAATTCTTCCAAGTAAAAAAAGTCCAGATTCAGATGGTCTCAATGCAGAATTCTACCAAAAATTCAAAGAACAGCTTATACCAATTCTTCTCAGAGTATTCCATGCAATAGAAGCAGAAGAGTCTTTGCCAAACTCTTTCTACAAGGCTTCAATAACCTTGATACCCAAAGACACAACTAAGAAAGAGAACTTCAGAGCAATATCCCTCATGAACATTGATGCAAAAATACTCAATAAAATACTGGCATATCAGATCCAAGAACACACCAGAAAATTCATCCACCATGATCAAGTAGGTTTCATACCAGGCATGCAGGGTTGGTTCAACATACAAAAATCCATCAATGTAAGCCACCATATAAACAAGCTGAGAACAAAAAAAAATTACATGATCATCTCACTAGATTCAGAAAAAGCCTTTGACAAAATCCAACACCCCCTCATGATAAAGGTCTTGGAGAGATCCGGGATAACAGGAACTTACCTCAACATAATAAAAGTTATAAACAGCAAACCAAAAGCCAACATCAAACTAAATGGACAGAAACTCAATGCAATTCCACTAAGATCAGGAACAAGACAAGGCTGTCCACTCTTTCCATACCTCTTCAGTATTGTACTTGATGTTCTAGCTAGAGCAATAAGACAACAAAAGGAGATCAAGGGGATACAAATTGGAAAAGAAGAGGTCAAACTTTCACTATTTCCAGATTATATGATAGTTTACATAAGTGACACAAAACACTCCACTAGGGAACTCCTGCAGCTGACAAATACTTTCAGCAAAGTGGCAGGATAAAAGATCAACTCAAGAAAATCAGTAGCCCTACTATATACAGACGATATAAGGGCTGAGAAAGCAATCAGAGAAACATCACCCTTTAAAATTGCCACAAACAACATAAAATACCTTGGGGTAATGCTAACCAAACAAGTGAAAGACCTGTATCATAAGAACTTTGAGTCTTTAAAGAAAGAAATTAAAGAAGCCCTCAGAAAATGGAAAGACCTCCCATGCTCTTGGATAGGTAGGATCAATGTAGTAAAATTGGCAATCTTACTGAAAACAATATATAGATTTAACCCAGTCCCCATTAAAATCCCAGCACAATTCTTCACAAACCTTGAGAGAACACTAATCAACTTTGTATGTCAAAACAACCTTATTCAACAAAGCAACATCTGGAGGCATCACCATCCCTATTATAGAACTGTAGTCCTGAAAACAGCTTGGTATTGGCACAAAAATAGACAGAAAGACCAAGGGAATCAAATTGAACACCCTGATATTAACCCATACATGTATGAACATCTGATTTTTGACAAAGAAGCCAAAAAATACACTGGAAAAAAACATCTTCAACAAATGGTGCTGGCATAACTGGATGCTGGCATGTAGAAGAATGCGCATAGATCCATGTCTATTGCCA